TATTGGAATTTGTTTCTATAAAAAAAAGTGCCGTCAGGGTCCTGTCGGAATTTTATTATAGAAAAAAGGGTTCTCAGGGACCTGTCGGAATTTTTTTCTATAGAAAAAGTATGTCCTCTGGGAGCTGCCGAAATTTTTTTCTATAGAAAAAGTGCTGTCTGGGACTTGTGGGTTTTTTTCGGTAAAAGAAAAGATTTTTTTTTTAGAAAATATGCTCAGGGACCTTCGGGATTTTATTTTTATAAACAAGTGATTCTTACGGTACTTGAGGAAATGTTTTCTATAGAAAAGTGTTATCAAGGACGTGTCGGATTTTTTATAGAAAAAAGTGTTCTCAGATGTCAGAATTTCCTCCACCAAACGGTGTCCAGGGACCATTCAATAGACAAAAGAATCATCAGTGAACCTGAGTATTTTTGCTTTAGAAAAAAGTCCTCAGTTTTTTTTTCTATAGAAAAAATTCCTCAGTAAAACTAAGGACTTTTTTCCTATAGAAAAAATAGAAAAATATTCTCAGCTACCCTGATGTGACTTTTTTCCCTACAAAACAATTCATTTTTCTATAAAAAAAATACATCTCAGGAGATCTGAGATCAGACCTCCTTGAGAAGAGCCTTAAGGTTTTAAGTCAGGTCCTGTGAGTTTTTTTTTAGAAAAAACTCCTCAGTAACACTTAGGACTCCCGGAGGAGTCTTTTTCCTATAAAAAAACACTGAGGACTCCCTGAACTCTTTTTCCTATACAGTACCCTGAAGTGACTTTTTTCCCTAGAAAAAAATTCCTCATGTACCCTTAGGTTACTTTTTCTATAAAAACCAATTACTCAGGTCCTCTGAGGAAACTTTTTTCTATGGAGACAAAACAAACAAATTTAAATGTCTCCTGAGGATTTATTTTTTTTCAATAGAAAACAATCGTCAGGTCCCTAAGGTCTACTTTTTTGGAGAAGAAAATTTATATGATACCCTGAGGTCTATTCCTATAGATTTTTTTAGGAGAAAATTAATCAATTCATCACCTTTAGGTCTACTTTTCTCTTTTTTCTATTGAAAAAAATTGAAAATTCCCCAGCTCCCCTGAGGATTACATTTTCTATAGAAACACACAAAATTAGGTGACTTCTTTCTATATTCATTCCTTACCTTCCCTCGTTTATTATTTTATCACAACATGTTGCAGTTAGTGTAGCCTAGCCTTCGATTTTTTTTTAATTGACTCTTAGCTTGCAAGTTGTTTGCCGATTAAAAACGATTATAAGTTGATTGCCCAAAAACCTCCGAGAATATTAAAGAACGTGCATGTAACCTTAATATTTTAATAAATTTAATTAAATTATTAAAAAAAATAACGACAACAACACCACCAACAACATGAACACCGAAAATTGATTACAATTCAATTTGTTTTGACAAACGTGTTTAAATGTGAATTTGGTGGTCTAATTTGGTAGTAATAATTTTATGGTAGTAGTTCCAAAAACCAAAAAAAAAAAAAAAACTAAATAAATAAAAAAAAAATAAAATATCGACATGGTTTGTTAGGTGTCAGAATGTCGGCATGAGTTATTGCATTGCAAATTGAAAATAATTTGGAACCGTAATTCCCCCTGGCTATTAAAATTGATAAAAAAATCCCATGCTGTAGTTTTCAATGCTTGGGAAAAATAAATTTCAAAATAAAATTTGCAAGAGGTTAAATTCCTAATATCAGGAGGTGAGATAATGAAAATGTCTGCCTTAAAGCAAAAGGAAAATTAGACTAGGCTTTTAATATGCCAGAATTTCAAGTCAAATTTATCCAGAGAAATTGAAGGACGGAAGGTTCGTCCTCTTAATGAAAAACAGAAATCAGGGAGGGCTGAGGATTTTTTTTTCGTGTAGAAAAAGTCTTGAGGGGTCTGGGGATTCTTCTCACTAAGAACCTGCCTGAAGACTGTGGATTTTTTGCTTAGTCCTCAGAGGACTGAGGATGTCTTTCCACTAGAGAACTTATTTAACTTCTCAGCTCTATGTAAATAAATCTTTTTTTTAATTTTTTTTTCAATTCAATTTTTCCCAACCTTGTCAAAATATGCCAACAATTAGTTATGCTTTTTGTTGTTTAAATTGCCGACACTAAAAAAATTGAATATTTTTCAATTAACAATATTTTTTTGATAATTTTTGACACGGCACGTTTCATACATTTACAACGTCATTGACATATACATTTTTTACAAAACACACACGTCTAAAAAAATATTTTTTTTTTATTTTTATTTTTTTTTCCAAATTTATATTTCTCATCGCTTGCACTTTTATGCAGTTGTCAACTCATGGGGTATTACAATGAAGAATTGCTGATCTCAGCCAGCAGAGTTACGCATTAAGGTCCATAGGCCACAGCTAGGTGGGGTGGTGGCAGGGTCTTAGAACATACTCTAGTCTGTGTGCAGAAAAAAATCACGTACCACCTATAGAAATATAAAACGTGTTCGACAACATTTTTTCTTGCTGTTGGCCTCTCTGCATTTGATTTCAATTTGATTTTAATCTCCAACTCCTCCTCCTCCTCCTGTATGTATGTCTTCATTCTTCGGTGTGTTGTTGTATTATGCAATTGCAGTGTGTATGTGTGTGTAGACACGTGCTTGGCTTTACACGTATGTACGTAAATAACGTACATGCATATATGAACGAAGTATTTAGGTGCTGATGTCGGATTTCGATGTTGAACATACTTTGGATTATTCTAAGTGTTGCAAGATAGAGAGAGAAACACTTACAATTAAACATGGGGGCGTGGTAGAAGGGAAGGAGAGATAAAAAATAAAAAGAGTACTGAGGAATTTTTTTCTATAAAAAATATTTCACAGGGGTACTGAGGAATTTTTTTCTATAGAAAAAATAGTCCTCAGCGGGTCTCAGAAATTTTCTTCTATAGAAAAAACAGTCCTCAGCGGGTCTCAGGAATTTTTTTCTATAGAAAAAAGAGTCCCCAGCGATTCTGAGGAATTTTTTTCTATACAAAAAAGAGTCCTCAGAGTACTGAGGATTTTTTTTCTATAGAAACAAGAGTCCTCATAGTACTGAGGAATTTTTTCCTATAGAAAAAAGAGTCCTCAGAGTACTGAGGAATTTTTTCTATTGAAAAAAGAATCCTCAAAAAGAGTCCTCAGAGGACTGAGGAATTTTTTTCTATAGAAAAAAGAGTCCTCAGTGGACTGAGGAATTTTTTTCTATAGAAAAAAGAGTCCTCAGAGTACTGAGGATTTTTTTCTGTAGAAAAAAGAGTCCCCAGAGTACTGAGGAATTTTTTTTATAGAAAAAGAGTCCTTAAGGGGCCTGAGGATTTTTTTCCTATAGAAAAAAGATTCCTCAAAGTACTGAGGAATATTTTTCTATAGAAAAAAGAGTCCTCAGAGTACTGAGGAATATTTTTCTATAGAAAAAAGAGTCCTCAGAGTACTGAGGAATTTTTTTTTATAGAAAAAAATTCCTCAGGTCCACCTGAGGAATCTTTTTTCTATTGTAAAAAATTCATCAGGTACACCGGAGGAATATTTTTCTATATAAAAAAATTCCTCAGGCTTGAGGTCCTGAGGTCTGTTTTTCTATAGAAAAAAATTCCTCAGGTCCCCTGAGGTCTGTTTTTCTATAGAAAAAATTCCTCAGGTCCCCTGAGGTCTCTTTTCTATAGAAAAAAAATCCCCAGGCCCCCTGAGGACTCTTCTTTCTATAGAAAAAAATTCCTCAGGCCCCCTGAGGACTCTTCTTTCTATAGAAAAAAATTCCTCAGGCACCCTGAGGACTCTTCTTTCTATAGAAAAAAATTCCTCAGGTCCCTTGAGGACTCTTTTTTCTACAGAAAAAATTTCCGTCAGGTCCCTGAGGTGACTTTTTTTCTATAGAAAAAATTTCCGTCAGGTCCCTGAGGTGACTTTTTTTTCTATAGAAAAAATTGCCCTCAGGTCCCTGGGGTGACCTTTTTTCTTTAGAAAAAATTTCCGTCAGGTCCCTGAGGTGACTTTTTTTCTATAGAAAAAATTTCCGTCAGGTCCCTGAGGCGACTTTTTTTCTATAGAAAAAAAAATCGTCGGGTCCCTGAGGTGACATTTTTCTACAGAAAAAAATCACCAGGTCCTTGAAGTGACTTTTTTTACAGAAACAAATCGTTAGGTCCCTGAGATGACTTTTTTCTACAGGTCCCTGAGGTGACTTTTTCTATATAAAAAAATCGTCAGGTCCCTGAGGTGACTTTTTTCTGTTTCTCCATAGGAAAAAATTCGCCAGGTCTCTTGGGGTCTCTTTTGTTATAGAAAAAAATTCTTCAGGTCCCCTGAGGCCTGTTTTGCTATATAAAATATTCTTCAGGTCCCCTGAGGCCTGTTTTTCTGTAGAAAAAAATTCCTCAGGTCCCCTGAGGTCTGTTTTTCTATAGAAAAAAATTCCTCAGGTCCCTTGAGGTCTGCTTTTCTATAGAAAAAATTCCCCAGGTCCCCTGAGATCTGTTTTTCTACAGCAACAAATTCCTCAGGTCCCCTGAGGTCTGTTATTCTTTAGAAAAAAAATCCTCAGGTATCCTGGGGTCTGTTTTTCTATAGAAAAAATTCCTCAGGTCTCTCTGGGGCTTTTTTGTTATTGAAAAAATTCCTTAGGCACAGATGGCGAAAAAATCCTCATTCGATTTGTCAATACCCACCCCTCTGCTTATTGTACGACAATGCTACGATGACATGTTGTAACATTTCAATTAAAATTTTCAAATACTTCTTGCAGCTCTTTTTTTGCACAGCAAATTGAAAACGTATTCATGTGGATTTTCGAATTTTGGTCATTTAGGCTAATAGGAAATTACCTTATTTAGTTAGACGGAATGTTGACAAGATAACAAATTCTAGAAGTTTTGGGTAAAGGATGGATAGATCCGCATGACGGAACTTTGGAAATGACCTTCATGGTGATTTTTATTTTTTTTCTAATTCAAATTTTAAAAATTAAATACAAATTGGTTCTACTTACATAACACATCGGTGATGAGGTGGAGGAGCTTATATTACCGGTTACCATCAGACCATTCTTTTTACCATTGCCGCCCAGCAGCGATTGTTGAATGCGATTGGTGCCGTAATACATTTCCCAGATGCTGGGCTTTTTACGATGCCAATCCAATATGGAATCTTTGTCTTGGGATTCGGAGGAATCGTGTGGTGAGTTGGAGTGCGATACAGATGAGGATGCGGAGCCCGAAGCGGAACCAGAACCTGAGCCATTATTTTTTGTGTGGGATATCCTTTTGTCATTCTCTGTTTGATTGTCAAATTGTTGAATACTGGCCTGATGAAAATGGAGATTCCGTTGTAGCTGAGAACCACCACTTGGCAGTGGTGGCAGGGGATCACTTTGCCTTTCTATGGTCCGTAGGGTTTCCACATAACATTCCGACATGGGAAAGACTTCGGTGAGGGATTTTCTTTTCATTTTGAAGTTGGGATCACTTGAACACTTGATGGTGGTTACCTCTTGGCGAATGCTAATCGGTGGCAGACCGGCCATGGTGCTGCGCATGCCACCTGTCCCGACAAAGCCGGCTTCGTATTGTGATAATTGATCGCTGACATCGCTTAGCGAACGTCGCCTTTCGAAGGCATTTTTCATTTTGACAATGTTCTGATTTTTCACCAACCCCGTGCAGAGCTGTCGGATCTCCAATTCGCTATTCTGATTCATACGCTGCAAATAGAGTTCCAGTTCCCGCTTGAGGGTCCCAATCATGGTATGCAGTTCTTTGGGTATATATTCATCGAGGGTTAAATTAGCGGCTTGATTTCCTGACCTAATCATTTGCCTTTCTTGATTACCTGCAGGATGATGAGAATGAGCGGGAGGAGGTATGTCTTGTGAGAGATTGAGCAATCGTATCTTATCACGCACATCTTCCAATAGTTCGCGGGTATTTTGAAAATGAATTTGATCCTCATAACGCTTGGGATATAATTCCGTCACCGATACCGCCGCCACCGATTGTCCGGATATTGAACTACGAGCCGGCGCAATAATATCACTCTCCACACGATAGGCATCCTCGGGACAGGAATTTATATATTTGGCACATTTGTAGTGGTTCTCCTCCTGCTCCTCACTCAAAAACGAGGGGTTATCAATTCCGCAGCCTTTGGTTTTGATTGCTGGAGGTAGTTGTTGTTGCTGTTTGCTTTGCAGATTTTGTTGTTGCTGTTTGCGATCCTTTTTCCCAGCCTCATCCAAAAGAAAAGAATCCAAATCGATGTCGATCAAAGAATCATCGGTAACGGGATCCTCAGACCAGCCCCTTTTCAGGGTATTGGCATCATAGCCCTCCTTAATGGTGGGTAAATGGGAATAGGAGGCACGTAACTTCTCCTCCCGTTCTCCCCGGTGGTGGTGTTGTTGTTGTTGTGATATGGCATCTGTTGAACTGACCACCATTCCCCTGGGGAAGGACTTCAAATGGCGATCTAAATTTTCAATACTTGTCTCCAGAATCCTCAGATTTTCTTGGAATTCTTTGGAGGAGGAAGAGGCTACCGAACCTCCTCCACCCTTAACCTCCTGACCATCGCGTTGATCCGTATTATACCGATAGCGTCTATTATAGTCCAAAGTATGCATAACACTAGACGCAGTTTCACCTGCCAATGGATCGCCACTACCACTTTGAGCCTTGCCACTCTCTCCTGTGGTCTTAGCAGTGGCAGCAACCGAGGCTGCTGATGCTGCCGCAGAATTCAGGTTTCGCATTTCTTTCATTTCAATTGTTGGTTCGCTGTAGATGTGCTCCTCCAACGAATAGGTGGAACACACATTGGAGCTGTAATAACCGGAAGAGGCTGACTTGTCGGTGGAATAGTGCGACTGATGGGAGGCAGCCCGTCCAGGAGTCTTTGCCAATTTTGGCATGACTTTAAACTCCTTTGGGCCCTTGCTGACCTCATCATCCACCCGGTGGATTTCCACAATTTCTTCCGAACCCAAAGAGCTTAAACTGGACGAAGTTGTGGAGAGTTTTTTCAAACGAACATTATTACCGGTCATAACTGGCGCCGTCGTTGTGGCAGAGGAATTTGTTGTTGTTGCTGGCGTGTTCGAAGTTGTCGCCGCCGACGCCGCAGTTGACATTGACTTTGAATTTGTTGCCGGATAAATGACGCTGCCACCTGCATTTAAAGTGCTGCAAGACAAGAGAGAGAAATAATTTATTAGAGAGAGTCCCAGACACAAAGAAAGAGAGAGGGAGGGGAGATGTTGTGAAATTTCAAACCAGTCAATACGACAAATTGACCACTTGTCTGTCTGACACTTTACTTTGTTTTTCTTGATTATTGAGCCCGACACACATGAAAGTAAAAATTCATAAAACGAAAGTGGTTCGACTGGACCAATACCAATGGAAAGAAAACCAGTCCATTGAGGAGGTAAAAAATGTAGGTTAGTAATATTTATTTGAAGCCAGTGGAAACAAGGAAAATCGCTTAGCGATAACGAAAACACTCAAGAATGTAAACAAATATTTTAGGAAAGTGAAAAATCAACTCTTAGTCCGGAGGATTTTTTCTATAGAAAAACACACCTCATCAGGTGGGCCTGAGGAATTTTTTCTATAGAAAAATGAGACCTCAGTGGGCCTGAGGAATTTTTTTCTATAGAAAAAAGAGACCACAGGGGACCTGAGGAATTTTTTCTATAGAAAAACCAGTAAGGAAAGTTCAAAAGTCGGACGGGGCCGACTATATAATACCCTTCACCACTATGGGTACATGCAAGACATGTTAATATCTACAATATCCTGTAGATATAGACATTTCGCATACATCAGTCGGGACCTAATTCAGTACTCTGTGCAAAATTTTGCTTCAATCGGACCAATATTGGGAGTTTGGTGCACAATTTACCTTAAATCGGATGAAACTATATATGGGAGCTATATCTAAATCTGAACCGATTTCAACAAAACTTCACATTCATCAATGACCTAATTTAGTACGCGGTGCAAAATTTTGTCTCAATCGGATAAATATTGGCAGTTTGTTGCTCCATTTGCATAAAATCGGACGAAACTATATATAGCATATTTAGATATAAATCTGAACCGATTCCAACAAAATTTCTCATACATCAGTCGGGACCTAATTCAGTACTCTGTGCAAAATATAGCTTTAGTCGGACCGCTATTGGGAGTTTGGTGCACTATTTACATGAAATCATACGAAACTATGCCAAATTTCATACAAATCGGATCATAAATGCGATCTGTACTTTGTTAACAAAAATACATGGACGGACGGACATGCATATATCGACTCAGAAAGTGATTCTATGCATATTCACAAAAGGAACCATGGGTCTATCTCGATTATTTTTGCCTGTTACATACATATGCACAACGACACAATACCCTGTACCACAGTGCGGTGAAGGGTATAAAAAGGTGGTTATAAGGGGACCACTCCTAAAAGGAGGCGAATATTAGTAATTTTTAGGAGGGAGGTTTGTTACCATATGCGACTACAAAAAACCAAATTACAAAGAATTTGGTTGAAAAACGCGTTCAAGAACCCCAAAATACCGAAAATTGGGGGGTACCCTTATATGGGGGCTACCCGAAAAAGTGGACCTATATTTATTATTTTTAGTGGAGATATTTGCTACCTAATAAGAACTCGATGTACTAAATTAAAGTCAATTCGGTTGAAAAATACGATCAGAACCCCCAAAATACCAAAAATTTGGGAGTACCGTTATATGGGGACTACCAGAAAAACTGGAACTATATTTATAATTTTTAGTGGAATAATTTGGTACACAATAAGAACCGAATGTACAAAATTTCAGAGAATTCAGTTATAAAACGAGCCCAAGAACCCCAAAATACCGAAAACTGGGGGTACCTTTATATAAGGGCTACCCGAAAAAATGAACCTATATTTATAATTTTTTGTGGGGACATTTAGTACCCAATAAGAACCCAGTGTACCAAATTTCAGCGTATTCGGTTGAAAATCTCGCTCAAGAACCCCAAAATACCGAAAATTGGGGGATACCCTTATATGGGAGCTATGCCTAAACGTGGACCGATTTTCTCCAATTTCAATAGGGTTCGTCCTTGGGCCAATTAAGTGACCTGTGCCAAATTTCATCCAGATCGGATCATAAATGCGACCTGTACTTTGTTAACAAAAATACATGGACGGACGGACGGACAGACGGACAGACGGACATGCATAAATCGACTCAGAAAGTGATTCTATGCATATTCCCAAAAGGAACCATGGGTCTATCTCGATTATTTTTGCCTGTTACAAACATATGCACAAAGACATAATACCCCGTACCACAGTGTGGTGAAGGGTATAAAAAGACCACAGGGGACCTGAGGAATTTTTTTCTATAGAAAAATGAGACCACAGGGGACCTGAGGAATTTTTTTCTATAGAAAAAAGAGACCACAGGGGTACCTGAGGACTTTTTTTCTATAGAAAAAAGAGACTTCAGGGGACCTGAGGAATTTTTTTCTATTGAAAAAGACACCTCAGTGGCACTGAGGCATTTTTCTATAGAAAAAGACACCTCTGTAGCATTGATGATTTTTTTCTATAGAAAAAAAGAGTCCCCAGGGTACTGAGGATTTTTTTTCTATAGAAAAAAAACAGTTCTCAGGGTTCTGAGGATTTTTTTCTATAGAAAAAAGTGACCTCAGGGGAACTGAGGATTTTTTTTCTATAGAAAATAGAGACCTCAGGGGACCTGAGGAATTTTTTTCTGTTGATAAAAGAGACCTCAGTGGACCTGAAGATTTTTTTTCTGTAGGAAAAAGAGACCTCAGGGGACCTGAAGAATTTTTTTTCTGTAGGAAAAAGAGACCTCAGGGGACCTGAGGAATTTTTTTCTATAGAAAAAGTATCCTCAGGGACCTGTCGGAATTTTTTTCTCTAGAAAAAAGTGTCCTCAGGACACCTCAGGTGGGCCTGAGGAATTTTTTTCTATAGAAAAAAGAAACCTCAGAAGACATGAAGAATTTTTATTTCTCAGATTACATCGGGAGCAACACCACCTACCATTGAATTCCGCCGAACACTAACATTGACAGCTATGCGTTACAAAAGCTTCATGGACAGTGTCACCTCGAGTCACACTCCAATTATTCCGATGCCTCTACATCATGTAGAGATTGAATTACGTGTAGACACCAGAAGACAAAGAAGAAGTGAAAGTGTACTACAGAAGTTCGACACACAGACACGAACATCTACATACACTGTTAAAACAATTTTAATGAGGTGTTCATATTTTTAAGTACAGAACAAAATCTGCAGCACAGGGAGGGCTCTTTTTTCAGTGAAAAAAATTCTGAGGCTGTTGAGCAGATTTTTTTTAATAGAAAAATATTCTGACCCATTCCTCAGCCCTACTGAGGCCTCTATAGCACTGAGCACTATATAAGAAAAATACTCAATCCACAGAATAAACGTTAAATTCCCTTACCTGTAATATTTCCGAATATATTCCTTTGACATCTGAAATAGGTGTTATTTCGAAATCCAAAGAAAAAACCGATCGACAAAATTTCCGAAAATCCACCAACCAAGTTATTCTAAAGCGTTAACGAAGAAGGTCAAAATGAAACTAAAAGCCATTGCGAGACAATTCTCAGCACCCCATTGCTTGTCGGACGACCGAAACTAGACCTATTAACATAACGGTAAAATAAAATAAATAATTTGCAATTGTATCGATGACATTCGGGCGGACGGACGGATGACCTTTTGCATGCTTGAGAAACACTTGCCATCTGTCTATCCGCCGAAGTGGCTAATCATAAATAAATTAAAAGAATGTCGAGCCACCACCATCAACATTGTCACCATTAGCACCACCGATGGACGGACGACCCTCGTACATTCGAAATGGCTTGTCTGAACATGGGGAATGGCTACGATTTTGGATTAGTGGAGCTCTGTGCGGAATACTAATCACCGACGAATGTAAACTTTGTTTTGATTGAGATGTGCCGGTTTTACAAGCGAATTGCACTGCTGCTACCATTTTACGCTTTTTAGCCATGAACTTGAAAAAAAGCAAAAGTTATGGGAGGTTGCTTCGCAAAAAAAAAAAAACAGAGCCAATTTCAAAACCAATTCTAATCCCAAAAAATATGTCTGCACCACAATTTTTTTTCAAAGGAAACTCAAACTAAATTGGTTTTTTGGCTGCACACGCACCCAATCAAAATAGTTCCGATCTGCAAAGAATGCTAATTGGGAAGCCATCGCCCAATTATTGTGGAGGCATCTTCTATAGAAATATGCAAAAAGTGCAAATAATTACCACGCCTGCATACCAAGCACGGAAATTTCAAAGTCATTGGACACTGAATGAGTCACAGGAAACATTTTTGGACAGTGGTTAAAAAATATTAAAAACATATAGAAAGAGATCTCTGAGTAAACATCCTTTTTTCTCAGTCCTTAGGTCCACTGAGGTCTGTTTTTCTATAGAAGAAATTACGTCAGGTCTCCTGAGGTCTGTTTTTCTATACAAAAAAAAAATCCTCAGATCTCCTGAGGTCTGTTTTTCTATAAAAAAAATTCCTCAGGTCTCCTGAGGTCTGTTTTTCTATAGAAAAAAATTCCTCAGGTCTCCTGAGGTCTGTTTTTCTATAGAAAAAAATCCTCAAGTCTCCTGAGGTCTGTTTTTCTATAGAAAAAAATTCCTCAGGTCTCCTGAGGTCTGTTTTTCTATAGAAAAAATTCTCAGGTCTCCTGAGGTCTGTTTTTCTATAGAAAAAAATTCTCAGGTCTCCTGAGGTCTGTTTTTCTATAGAAAAAAATTCTCAGGTCTCCTGAGGTCTGTTTTTCTATAGAAAAAAATTCTCAGGTCTCCTGAGGTCTGTTTTTCTATAGAAAAAATTCCACAGGCCTCCTGAGGTCTGTTTTTCTATAGAAAAAATTCCACAGGCCTCCTGAGGTCTGTTTTTCTATAGAAAACCAGTAAGGAAAGTAGTAAAGTCGGACGGGGCCGACTATATGATACCCTTCACCACTATGGGTATATTAAACAGGACTATTAACATGAAATTGGATGAAATAAAATATGTGATATTTATCTAAATGTGAATCTACCTAGATCTATCCATAAAGTATGTAAATCGACTTCAAACAAATATAAATAGGT